TAGATTCACATAATAAAGATCAAAGTTGCATTTCTTGGTTTTGATGTTCCTGTGGTCTCTGTCACGAGATCATTTCAAATCTCTAAGGAATCCTTTGGCAAATTTAAAATTTGCCTTGATGACTCTGAGTTTCCTGTTGGGACAGCTTGAGCATATCAGTGCTACCCTGGGTTTTTAAAAGGTCACTTGTATTACCTCCTTTGAGCCATTCAAGTGATCAAATCCTCAAAAAGTTTGTGAATGTTAGTAATCCTGTAGTGGTTAATGAGTTTTCTCAAGTTAAATGGTCTCTTGGGTTCTCCATATTTGAAGTTCTTTTACTTTTAAAAGTATCGGTACAAGGGCTGATTCATCAGAGGCTGGAAAACCCTACTCTTATCCTCTAACCTCCATTATTTTGTTCTGTGTCCTTCATACTTTCAGATTAGAAACTAGTAGACAAACAATAATAGTTTTATCCCATGCTTCCCCTGTTGTTGTTGTTGTTGTTATGTTCCATCAAGTCACTTGCAACTCATAGCGACCATAGGTACAAGAGCTCTAAACGCTGTTCTATCCTGTGCCAACCTAGCCATCTCAAACTCACTTATTCCCACCTCTCCAGTCACAGAATCGATCCATCTCACCAAAGGTCTTCCTCTCCTTCCCCTCCCCTCCACTCTGCCAAACATGATGGCCCTCTCCAAGGACCAGTCCCTCCTTGCAACATGCCCAAAATACATCAGACGAAGCTTCAGAATCCTTGACTCCAGGGAACACTCTGGCTTCACCCTCTCCAGGACAAACCTGTTTGTTCTCCTAGCAGTCCCTGATATATTTAACACTCTTCTCCAGTACCACAGCTCAAAGACATCAATCCTCTTTCTATCAACCCTATTCACTGTCCAACTCTCTGATGCATACACATAATTGCGAAGACTATAGCCCGGATCAGGCGCACCTTAGTCTCCAGCCTGACATCATTGCTCTTCAGTACTCTTGAGAGGTCCCTCACAGCCGACTTTCCCAATGAAATTCGTCTCCTGATTTCCTGGCTGCTGATACCAAGAGTGTTGACTGTGGAGCCAAGTAAATTAAAACTGTTAACTACCTCAATCTCTTCACCATCCATGCTGATGCTGCCAATTGGCCCAGTGGTT